CACGTCACAACTAACAATTTTAGTCTGCCAATGCATCCAAAAACATCGCCCTTTAAGATTTTTTGAGCATTATAAGAGTTTGTGCTCTCGCTCCGCCGCTCCTGAGTGGTTCATACTAGGCGGGGGTGATCTCTAAGGGTCAAGGTCGATCAGTTACGATGAAGTAAAATCAGATCCTTTTACTCAAATTCTCCTTAGCATTCTCCACTGCGTACATGTGTCGGTCTTTTTTCGGCGGCTATCCAGTTGGGGGAGCTCGATAGGCACCTTTATTCATAACAATTGGTGACTCAGTTTATAAGAGTGACTGCAATTTATAACAAAGACATTTGGGAGATAAAGTTGAATTACGTCAGGTGTTTTAGTGAAGCAAAGTATATATAAGATGTTATGGAATGTGAGGAATTGCTAGATGAGTTTAGGACTTACCCCCGGGCAAAATGAGACTGTAGTGGTCATCACTCATTGGTCCGTCACCAGCCGCGTTGTAAGGGCTGATGGAGACAATGTAGGTGGCATTCGGGAGGAGATCTTCGAGGCGTATTTTTTGATTCGGTGTTCTCTTCACCTGTCTTGCACTCAAAGGATAGGCCTTTCTCGTTGTGTAGTAAACTTTATAGCCCTACAAGTCAAAGGAAGAACACATATTTACTCGCCCTACTATAACCAACCAAATAAATGTCTTCTAGTGTGGCGAATTTTCAAAGAATTGGCTGTTAATGTGTATCAATGCAAGTTTTTGGATATTCACTTACCAAAATTTTACCATTTGACAGTTGAGGTGCATCCCACGTGATTTCCAGAGAAGTGGGTCCACTCACACGCAATCGAATATCCTGTGGCGGTTCTCCGGGTGCTATGGTATGTCAGAGCAACAAACAATCTTACTGCTCAATTTCACTTATCAGCCTCTGTAAACTACCAAGTTTTCATTCAGTATGATTAGTCACAAAGGAGAAGATTGTTTTGGATTTAAACGACTAACATCTTCTTATGCAGTCTTCATTTAGATAAAAAAGAAAGTGGTGTATCTCCTTGACAAAAAAAAGTAAAAAGAGGCTAACAAATGAGCAAGACTACTCTTTGTTAGATGATAGTTTGTGACTGTCAACAAGGCCCAAGGACAAATCACTCACACGCATTAATCTGTACATATCCCCTTTTGAAAAGTGAACTAGTGGAGAAGTGAAATTTTGGCTCTCTCTCCCTCACAATCTGCTAAAGATTTTATCAAACCGTAATAAAGGGCAGCCATACACACAAATAATTAATTTTGCTCTCACAAACTCACGTGGTAAAATAGTGGAGGTGGATGAGGTCTTTCGATCATTTTGGCAATGTGTCCAACTTTTGACAGGCCTACTTATCCAAAATGATCGGATAATAAGTTGATCAATCACGCGAGAACGACAGTGAGGAGTAAACACACTGAGTGTGAGATGGAATGCCATCATCTTCCTTTCCGCCTCACCGAGTAGCTTCAGACTGAGTGAATCAGTACTAAGACCTTTTAGGTATTAAGTGAGCAGCGGCTCTCAATAAATGCCAGAGGAGAAATGAAGCGTAGTTAACTTCTTCTCCCTCTTTCTTCTCCTCTGGGAAAAATAAGTGTAGAGTTGAAGCCATCTATCCATGACAAGGTGGAAGGCGAGTCCCGTCAAGTCAAGGAATACAATTGATCGCCCAGCTAACTGACCACTCGGATGCAGCTAATTTTATGCTACAAGCAGTCAATTATTCCCTTTAAGTGCTTGTTTTTCATCCTTCCATGAAAGTACAAGCTTTTTAAAATGGATTAGTAATACAAAATGACGTCTTGCCAATAAAGTAGACAGTCTTTTGGACGGCACTTTTATCTGGTACAATCATTAATAAACGAGATAAACAACGTCATTTACGCAGGTAGCTTTGTTACCCTAAGGACTACTTACCTGTTGTATAATTTAACTGGGTCTCAATACAACCCTTGTAAGCCTGATTAGATAGTAAGGGCGTAGGAACGATCAATGACTCGGCTTTTTTTTCCTCCTCCGTAGTCTGGCCGTGGTTCTCATGGCTACTCCTTTTTTATTATACAGACTTTTATTAGTGTAATCTCCTGACCATCATCTTTGCTAGTGACTACTTACAATAGGTCAATTAAAAGCTGAAAAGATAGATGTGGAGTGTCTGTTGTTGATGCCAAGTGCTGCTATCATTCGCCTTTTTTTCTGATTCTGCTATTGTCTCTTTCGGAGTACATTGTTTGCAGCAGAGAATGCCTAAGTGGAAACTCCTGACTCCTTTCTATCATCAAACAATTGATGGAGATGGACAATCACACTGAAGAAGTCAAGTTTAAATGAACTATTGTGACGGAAAATCTCTATGAATAAATACACGGTAAGAGGAGGGTACTGAGTCACATGTCAACATATAGTAATGTGTAATTACATGAAGATCTCAAAGGGTAAAAGTCTGGTCTTAGCCGGGGGGAGGAAATCTAATTCCCGGGGGATGTGAAGCAATGGTGATTCCACTCCATTTTAAGAGCATCATTTGGCCAAAATTAGAGACTAGAGCCAGATTATGTTACATTGCGGAGGGTTGTGTTTCCAAACAGAGGAAGTCTTCTGTCAGTGGAGAACTCCAAAAACTACTATTTATTTAATCTTGTTTACAGGGTTGATTACCTAATTTTGTTTTCCTATTTCAGACAGAATTAGAAGAGGGTAATAAATACTCCTATCAACTGCCCGGCTAACATAAATTAAGTCCATCTACTACCAAGAGGGTATGGAGTGCTCAATTTTGGGCTAATTAACTACAATTTGCCAGCTTATTTGTATACAGTAGATAATGTATTTATGCGGTTTCGTGCTCAAGTCAGAGTAGAAACGGCTTTTAGACATTGATGACAGAAGTGCGGCCGTTGGAATAATTCATGAAACTGCAAACCCAACCGACAACGCGCACAGGCAACCCCAACACCCATTGGTTTTTATCAATACATTAGCCCTCCGCCCCCTCCCCTCCACTCGCCCCGCCTCCCACTCCCCCGCCCGACAATGTCAGATTTATCTATGCAGGGTCACGCAATATCACATGTAAACTAACTCCGGATCTGGTGGATCACTGATTATTTGGATAATATTTCAAACATTCCCGCTTAACTCCGATAAATTAATTTCATTTTAGCGTGTTTACCAGTTGGAGGCGGATCATGATTTTTAATAACTGACAAATGTTTGCTTTCACTTTACTGCTCCGGTTGATAGATAAATTCTACCTCTGTGAAAGGAACGAACATAATGTGCTATTGGCACTAAAAAGAAGGGAAGGTAGAGAGAAAAAGATGTTCTACCCGAACCACGACTTCTAATAATAACAGGAGATAATACAGTGGGGGTTCTACACAAAAGTGTCGGTGTAAATACTGTACGCCGGTCCGCTTACCCTTTTGTCATGGTGCATAAAGACGGCTTCTAGAATAGTGAGACGATGGGACATTTAATTGATGGGGGATGTTTTAAGCATGTCGTACATCGGTCAACAGTCGCCCAGTATAAAATCCTGGACTCCAGAGCAAATAATTACCAACTAATCAAGAAATTGCTTTACAGAGAGGATTCTTTCTAAGGAGAGGGTAAGATCACAAAACCATTTCAAAAAGTCAAAGCACGTTAGGTGGTATGATAAGTTGACCGTTCAAGCAGCCTTGGAGGTCTGGGTCAAAATTGCGAAAATAAAACAAAACACATTTTGCACTCTTTGAAAAAACAAGGCGAAAAATATGGCGCAATCGTCCAAACTCACGAATTTCAGCAGTTTGAAACTCCATCTCTTCACTAGGCAGTGAGAGTCCGACCCTCTTATTTACTGCTTGTACCGTTGCCTTGTAGGTGGTGTAGGGAAATAAGTCGGTCACATTGAAAGTCACAATCTGTGAGTCATCATTGAGAGAGGTGTGAAAGTCCTTTGTGTAGATGTCGGTCATCTGTCTCCGCAAATCCATCAGCGAGCCGAGACGTTTCTTCTTCGACTCCACCGTTAGCGTGTATGATTCAATTTCACTGACTTTGTGTGCTTTCCATTGCAGAACAGCGTAGGTTCCACCAACCGGTCGGACATCAATCCACGTCGGTGGATCTGGAAGTGCTGGGATGGAAAAAAGAAGTGCGTAATTTGTCTCTCCAGTGCCACGTTCCTTTTTTTCTCTTCGTACTCATAACAGAGGAATTAGAAAGCGGTAATTACTTCACCAAATTTTAAAAATAATATAATTTAGGTAAAATATAAATTTTATTTTAGCCGTTCCAGTTTACTGTAAGAACGTTGGTGAACCGAAAGAATGTTTAATTAACTTTGACAGGAAATCGAGAGATGATTAGCCTAATGAAATATGACTCTTACGAATGGGACTTAGAGAGGAGGTGACAAAAATTTATTAAGTTTGTTAACACGAATTTTTAAAAAGTAATATTTAAGAAATAAGTAAAACACAAAACATTTTGTGTTAAACAAGGCAAAATTTAGTAGTAATTTTTTATGAGTCCTCGGATTAACCGCCCAGGAAACACGAGACAGGTATCCACGATCACCTCAACTTCGGAATGGTAGAAAGGGAGGTCTCAAGTTGGTCTGGATAATATTTTGCTCAATGCTTACATATAATTTGTCATCTGTCAAAGAAACGTCAAGTATAAAGGGTGCCCAAAACAGGCTTATATTAACAAAAAAGGATGAAGGTGGAGTACGTAGATCCACCCACGGACCAATAACTATTGTCCTCAGAAGGCACTAGACACCTTTATTAAGAAGGATTTCTTATGATGAAAAAAAAACAGGCAGTGCTAATGCCTTAGTTCCAAAAAAAATTTACTACTCTATAACGGAATCAGAGCGAGACTTAGCATAATTTTGACTTATCGACAGACCTCGGCTCCTGGAAAATAAGCAATCCAGTTGAATTGGCTCATGTATTGTGTATATTTTAAAGGAGATGGAATTTTATGTAGCACTTTAAAAACCTTTTTAGACATTAGTGAAGCGAGAGAGGAGATATTTCTCTTAGATAAAATTAGTTCTCAGACATTGTGCAGTACCCTTGAGTTAGCTGCAAATTTGGGGAGTAAGGCTTTCATTGTGGGTAGTGGAACAAAAGGAAGGCCTAGGAAATACACTGTAACTCAACTGCGCATTAAAGTGTTGGTGGAAAGCACTGAATTTCACTTCATCGGCTTTTTATTCGGGCAATTACGACTTATCCTCCTAAAACATGAAACAGACTGCATGGAATTTTTAATTGAATACACTCCTATTTAAGTGTTGAAGTTGGACAGAGGAGGGAGAGTGGTAATAGGAATGACCTGTGCTGGCTTGGAGATTAAGAAATTGTCCAAAATGGGAGTCATTTTAATTTCCTCTAAACGTTAAGGCAAAAAGCCCTAGAATAAAGAGGGCATTGTGTCACTCCCATCGAAATCAACAATTGAATCAAAGTGGGATGATGAAACTTCCCTTGGTCCACTTTGCTTCCCCTTTTGAGTTTTTCTTATCTGCTCTGACGAGGGGGAAAGAGAGATAGAGCCAGTAAAATGAGTATGTCAGAGGTGTAGGGAGTTTTAGCCTTATCAACGACAAATATCTTTACAAATTAACTACTTCCACTTGGCATGCAAGAAGAAAAAGAAGTCAAAAGTCAGCAAAAAAATAAACTTTAGAACAAACATGAAGACATTGTGCCATTCACTTGTCCCATCTTTGTGGACCTCGTTGAAAATACTTGAAGGTGTGCGTGATTGTTTATGTATTGTATAATAAAGCAGAGAGAGAGAGAGAGAATGTACGTCAGTCTCTCACTGCCCACACCTAATTGTGTTCTCCCCTACTTTTCCTGCATTGTCAACCTTTTTGCCTAATGAACCAGAGGTATGTGATTACAGCCTGCCGACTTTACTAAATCATGTCCGAAGCTGTGTTTTCATATTTAATCCTTACAATGGAATGTGTGTCGTGTCACTATTGGCTTGTCATATTACTTTCAAATTTTAACTTCTTGAACGTGAATTGAATACCGGTGTAGCTAGTTTAAATCTCCAGCGACTAAAAGTCATGGAAGTCATTATCCAACTGAGTGCCATCCATATAGCATGCCATATCATGCTGCGTCACATGTCATGAGTCTAACATTAATAGATAATATTTAACTTAAAAGACTATCAACCTGAAAATACACAATTTCCAACAGTTTATAGACTTTCTTATTCTTGACATACAGGCAGAACCTGTGAGTCAGACCTCTTTCTTTATCTTATAAGACCACATAACCGAGGACACCATACCACGAAACTTGCAAAAGATATAAACCTTACGGGAGAAAGGGAGGGAGAAGGTGAGTCAGAGGGTGAAGTGAGGAGGTATGGAGAGTGGTGGACACTCGCCCATCCTTTTGCTCATCCTTATTCTTCTTATTTCCCTTGAACTTCTCCAAGTGATTGTCACCGTTTTTTGCCCCCAGCATAAAAAGAATCACATTCAGGAGATTATACGTGCTGCTAAAGAGCAGAAAAACCAAATTTCCATATTTATTTTGCCTCCTAGAGACAAAACACACTTTCAACTGCGTATTTTTTACAGTTTAATACATTCTTTTGTTAAAAATGTAAATGATAAATTAAGGAGAAATGGCTGCAATAATGATTGGGGATATTAGGCCTCTTTTGGCTTGTAAACAAGACTTCATCTAAGCCTAAATTGACCGCAGAAAACACCTGATTGTACTGATTTCTTCAACTGAGGTACAATTCATGCTTATCCACTACGCAATCTCAAGGCAGAAGAGGTTAAAGTGCCTAAGAGGTAGCACGGAGTATCAGGAAGAAGGAGACGAACTGGCACTTGCAAAGGCAACTGATTTAACCTCCCATTTCCTTCTTGATGACTTTAAACAGAGATACGCAAAAATACTTTAATAAAGCTGAATAAATTCATTTCCCATTCTTGTAATATCTTTGAAAAAAAGAAAAACAAATCCACTTATTTGGATTAAACCTTAGGGCCACCCAGGTCTGGATGGGTTTGGCAACCGCAGCAAAGGCATCAAAAGCTCTTCTTTTTCTTTTGTGTAGATGTGCGTGTTGATGCAAAAAATTCGCCTAAAATTCTCTATAGAATATGATGAAAATGAAATGTAAAGAGAAGAAAACACGAAGCAACAGTCTCGGCCTCTTTAATCAGCCTTTAGGCCATGAAACTGCCCATTTCTGCTTCCACCTAAAGGGGGAGTTAAAACGGGGTACAAAGAGTACTGCCTTCTTGAAAAAGAAGGTGTAAAAAAGCGGTAAAGACCGCACTCTTGATATTCCCAAATTTGATGTCCTGGCTGAGGGGGGAGATAATAGAAAAGGCATCACCTTGAAGCGCACCAACAAGAGAGTTCTTATTTTTTGCTCTTGCAAATTCAATTATTAAATTCACAAAAAAAGGAAATACAATAGCCTGCATCAAACAAACTATATGCAAGACTTATCAAAATTTATTGCTTCTCTCCCCTAAAAAAAACACGCACTTTTGCCTAGCCGGTGAATTTTCTATGAAGAGCACCATTAATCCATTCAAAGAGGAAGCAACCTTTCCTTGTTCTTTAAAAAGCTCTAAAGGGGTGGTTAAATCGCGGCTGCAGACATAAATTTGGTTTATGCGAAATTTCTGGACAAAAAGCATCCAAATTTGATGGTTTACTCATGGTCTGGATCTACTTTGAGCCACGGTGCCCACAGGGAATACCCAGTCACTGGTACCATAGGGCGGAGGTCCAAATTTCGTGCTTTACTTGCCTGACGTGAAAAGATAGTTCTTTCTTAAAGATGTTTTGTTATAAATTAGATTAACTAAAAATTTACGTTTGACAATTACGCTGATATTTCTTCTCACGATGCCTAAGCTATTCTTAGCCACACAGATGTACGTCAGTTGGTCGGTGATATCAGTCAGCCGTAGGGTTGCCTGTTGTGCCTGCGGCTTTGTCAACGGACGCTCTGCGTAGTAGTGAATGGGGCCGGTCTCGTGGAAGTCGCTTTTTCCTCCTCCTGGCGGTGCAGCCGGCGCAGACCCCGCCGTGGCCCACCACACTAATGGGAGAGGAAAACCACTGGCTTTGCAGGTGAGATTTGTCCCCTTTCCAGGTGAAACGAAAACTTGGGAGGGAATTCCCTTTATTGTTGGTGGAAATTCGATACCTGTAAGACAATACGACCAACGTTAGAGGGCTTTGTGGGTGATACGTGATGGTGCGCAGCTACATCCAGCACATGCAGGCGGGGGCATGAGTTCATTCATCATAACTGGGCAGTTTTGAAATCACGGGTGACTTTGATTCTATCTGGTAATGCATTTCATCAGAATTCACTGTCCATTCTTAGTCGACGGCGGAGGGTATCTTTTAGTCTTGCGACTTTTTCCCTCTCAACTTCGATAACTTAGGGAACAAAGATTTTTAATTGTGCTCTACAAATTAGTAACGAAGCATTTGTAACAATTTGGATAACAAAATTTCCTAGAAGTCTTAGTTTCTAAGACCAAGTTACAGCCTCATGCATACCTTCATGAGTGAAAGCGTTGCAAAGATTAAAGGTGCGGTCACCTTTTACATGCGTCCAGTCTTATTCCCTACCAGAGGCAGGGTAACAAGTACATAAATATGCAATCAAAAGAAACTCCGCAAATAGGGAAGTCCTACGTGTTTATTCTCCGGGTAGAAATTAAGTGGGATTTGTCCAGTGTCTAAAGTACTCATCGCCACCCAGCAATCACGCGGGTGCATACAATCACCAAGGTTGATTTCTTTCAGAGATACACTGAAACCTCTCCTTAAGTACAAGATCGTAAAACAAAAAGGACAAGAAAAGGGGCGATTGGAGAGAGGCTTTGGTTGAATTTCCTGTAAAAGGCTAGAAGAAAAGGCGGAGAGGTTATGCATTAAAAGTTGTTAATTGAATGAACGCCGACAGCGAGCACATGCAAGAGCGCAAGACAGGAAGCTTTCAACTATCTGGTCAGCACTTCACTTGCCCCGTTCGACTAGGTAATGAAAGAGCAGCGTAAGATTTCCTGTAAAGACAAACCAGTGACAAGGATTAAGGTATGCGCCAACTATACAAAGAGGCTCCCTAAACCCACTCAGTTTGTGTGTGTGCGTGGGCAAATTTCTCCCAGCAGCCTAGGGGATCACGAGCTACATACAAAATTACCTGTGATTGCAATACATTTGAGAGTTTAAGGAAAATATTTTGCAGACATTACATTAGTCAGTTTTAGCCCAGTACAGAAGTAAATGACAGTCTGAGGGAACTTTTAACTACAGGGAGATAGCAAAAACGTTGGTAATGGTGTGTACTGAGAAGGCGTAATAAATATGAACCCGGGGGTATTAGTCAGTTTTGTCAGGAAAAAAGATGGATCTCCACGCTTCCCTTTTACCTTCCATCTTTCCCCTGAACTCTGCTAATATCTGTGTCAGGTATGCTTGTTAGAGATTGGTCACGGTAAGGATGATGCTTGTGAAAAGGGACTTCCTAACTTTGTGGTTGAGGAATAAGTAATAAGGAGTAGGTTTTACTACCTAAACTGGAATAATTTGGCTGTACAGACAGAAAGGGTAAATGAACTTTTGAAAACGAATAAACACCATAATTTACTGTTAACTTGAAGTGATAGAATTCCTTAAAATGTGGTCATATTTCACCCTATAAATTAATGTTGATGGGTAGTGAAAAAGAAAATAAGGGGACTGCTTGATATAATATGTAGCCGTCAACATATCTTGGCTATTATCTGTAAGATGTTGCCATTTTCTGACCTTAGGTGACACTTGTCACTTCTCCACAACTAAAGAGTAGGTATAACTTCCAACCAAGTAAAAAAATCCCCAAAAATTTATAAGCTACTCAGAAGTTCCGACATAACAAGGCTCTCTGTTGATAGATGTTGCTAGACATCGGCTAAAAAACCCTCCAACGAGCAATACAACAAATGTGACGGTTGATTTGGTCCTTCCATTCACTATCTTACCTTAAAGTGATACGTTAACCATAGTTATAGATCATATTAATTTTGTAGGATTACCGTAACAGTTTTATTCCCATTCAACTCGTCTGCTTGTCTACCTTTCTTCTCCGAATCGCCTAGTAACAGGACTGTAAGGTAGCCAGACAAAAGCGTGTGAGATTTTATGATCAGAAAATAACCAACCATAAAAGTTCCTTGTGGTGTTTTACTCATTGAAGTCGAGTATGGGGTAGTGTATACTACTCTCCAAACCTCCCCACATCCCTCCCTATCCCTTTCCGTCCCACCATAGAGTAAATATCTCTTGAGTGAGTTTTGCGGTATAAAGCCCTCATTTGTGTGGTCTTGTAAGGTTAGAAAGAAGGATGCTCTTCTTATCTTGTCTTCCCGACTCACCAGTTTTAGTCCTGTCTGCTTTTTAAGAAGTAGGAGATTGGAATGAAAGCGGAGGCAAAGATAAAGTGGGAGTGGGAGAGGGATTGGGAGTAGAAATGCTTCTTGTATACATTTAAGAGGTGTTGAGTTGAGCGATTTTGGATGGAATTGTGCTTTAATCTTCATATTAAAAAATTCACAGCCACCAAAAACCTCAACCATTACATGTACACATAAAGGCGACAAAAAGCAAGTAGAGCATTGTGACAATGAAGTGGTACACACCTCAGAAGTGAGATTGTTGATTGCCGGTGGCTGGCAAATAATATGTTGGTTAGCTTATCACCTAGTGGAATACAAAGCCCATTTCTTGCCACTACTCATTCAGTTACCCAATCAGTCATTTGGTTAGCAAATAAACTTTTGGAAATGGCGCGTTGTCATAAAATTTGATAGAGAAGTGAGGAAGAATGGATTGACAGTCACCTGGTAATGATTGACTAATGACGTGTGACATGGCGTGGCATGTGGCATGACGCAAGTGTGGAACTCACTTGGTTGATACTTTCCACGACTTTTCAGCCGATGGAGCCTTGAATGGATTGAATCAACATTTATGTCATGTTAACATATTGAAACCCGAAAGTTTCTTTTGCATGTCAATATTCAGGTTTATTGACAAGTTAGGAGCGACACGACACTACATAGCACACCATGACACGTAATTTTCTTAACTATTAAGTCTGCAGTTTTCGTCATAAACTATGCTATAAATTTGATTGGAAGCATCCGAAAGTAAGCTAAACTCATTTCGTGAAGTTGACAGGCTGTGATCACATCACCCGAGCGTTGACAATGCAAAGAAAGTAGGAGAAAGCTCATTGCGGGACTGATAGATGTATTACCCCTTCCACTTTAGGCTAACGTCGGTATCACAACAACTCCCTATCACTTTCCCTTTAAAAGTTATAATTTACCCTGAAAATATTTGGAAGGATAGGACTTACGTCGAACGTTGAGGTGACCCGCGTCACTTATCGCCGTGCCAATAATGTTTCGGGCCATGCATTCGTAGACACCCGAATCCTCCTCCAAAAGCGATTCAATTACCAAGGATCCGCTTCCTGGACGAAGAAGACAAACAGTTTCCCCTTTTTAGTACAAAAATTAAAAGGCGTACTCCATTAAGGATAAGCAAAGCTGTCTTTACTCGCACACTGAAATCATGCCTCAGTCAGTTAATGTCGAATGTTACTGTAGCCTTTTACCAGTTCGCATGACTGCAAATATTTTTGTGCATTAGCATTTTTTGCCTTTTGTACCAAATAATACAGAGAGCTGGAAACTCATTACGACCTGAGCAAGCATAATCGCCAATTCCCCAGGGAATGTCAGTCCTCAAGAGCATTAGCAACGCATTTTCACTCTTCAAGGCTAGGACAAAACACACACAAATCCTATGG